CACACACACAGAGAGAGAGAGAGAGAGAGAGAGAGAGAGAGAGAGAGAGAGAGAGAGAGAGAGAGAGAGAGAGAGAGAGAGAGAGAGAGAGAGAGTTGAGACTGGAGATTGGGTGACATTAGACTACAGACCGACATTGGACAGAGGCATTGGGGAGAGTGACATTAGAGTTGATGACATTTCCATTCCTCCTCCTCCTGCTCTGCCCGGGTTCCGCTTCAGGGTCCGTCCCAGGCTGGTGACTCAGTAAGGTCGGGCCAAACAGCATGCGACCCATTGCACGGTCCTGAGTGATTAACTGGGGGTATGGACCCCATCTCTTCCAGAAGCCTTCCTGCTTTGTTACCCCCGTGCGGCTGCACCGGTGCAGATCCGCCAAAAGGGCTGTTCTAATATTCTCCAATGCCCTTTCCTTATATGCCTGTAGCGACGGGGAGGCTCCCTGTCTGCAACGCTTATTCCTCCAAGTCCACAGCGCCCATAGTATTGCCGCTTTGCTGCTAACATATCTTGTGACTGTGTCCTGTTCACCTTCATCAGCGCCCCAAGGAGGATGCTTGCATCATCCGTCTCGGTGACTTTCAGTGGAGTCTTATCTGCCAGCTCTTGCGCCCACCACTCCCAGAAAGCTCGAACAACCGGGCGTCGTACAAAAACGTGAGGTACCGTTTCCACCTGCCCGCAATCCGTCGTGCATCCCTGGTCCTTGTGCCGGCTCTTAGTCGCAATCCATTGCGCTGTGGGAGCCACCAGATGATAGATTTGCCATAGCAGCCCTGCCTGTTTCTGATCAGGCAGCGCTGCTAAGATGGCACATTGATCTTTCCACCTTCGCTGGGTCCATCTGGTGAAGTACACATCTGGAAGCCAGTCCCTTTTAGCCCATCTGTTCTTTAGTTGCCCGCAGGTATCTATCGGCTCCCCCAGGGAGCTGTAGATGTTTTTGGTGGTGAGGTCCTGAAGCGGCACTTCTTTCCTCTGCATACCTTGCTCCAGCCATTCCCATTCCTTCGGGTCCCAGTCCAAATCTCGCCTTCTGGATGCTATCCGAAATGGTCGATACTGGTTCCCCCCTTTCTTCCTACTTTCACATACCGCCACGGTCTCAATCTGGTTCCTGTGTAACCGCCTGCAGGGAGGTCCATCCCCTAAGTCGATCTCTCGCAGGGGCTCTCCCAGCCCCTCATATCCGGTGTTCACTTGCCGACCTGTGACCTGCATCCCTGCTCCTTCTAGGAGCTGCCCCACCCTGTATATTATCTGCGGCCTTTTCTCCCCCTTCATTTAATTTTTTACCCATTCTCCCGGTGTAATATTATCCTTTCTTAAGATGTCAATCCACACAGGGGGGATGGCTCCCCTGATTTCGTCCATCCTCTGCTGTCTTCTCATGCAGCCGTGCAGGGAGTCCATCAACTCTGCATTCTGTTTCCAGTCCCTGCAGTCCTCATCCCATAGATGCCCTACCTTGTAGTTCCCTTGCTCAGCCCATTTCCATTCGTACGCTCCCCATGGATTTTGCCAAGGGGAGGGGTCCCCAGCTGCATCACAGATGAACCTGTTACCAAATAGCAGTTGATTGTCAATTGGGTCTGCAGTTTGAGGCAGCCTACATCGCATTTGCACCTCTTTCTCAATGCCAATTTCATCGACCACACCGTGTCTCTCCGGATGTGGCTTATTGCCTTATCATCCAGTAGGCACAGCTCCACCTTGTCCACCGGAACCTGTAGCTCGTAGGCAAGGTGGATCCAGGTAACATGTTTGCCAGGCACCTCCCCCCGTCCCGACCAAGTACCACAAAAGCTGTCTTAGCTTCAACGCTATGATCTGTAGGCGTGGGTCCAACAGTCCCAGGCCCCCCAAACACCTCGGCTGGATAAGTTTGTTCCCAGCTACCCTACAGATGGAGTCATCTGCATCCGCATTTTTTGACCAAAGGTGTGCATGGATCGCTTTTTTTTTTTTTTTTTTTTTTTTTTTTTTTAATAAAATCAGGGCCTTATGGATAATAATTTACCCCCTCGAGGCCGGTGGAATAGGAACCAGACTGACGCCGAGCGCCATCGGTTAGCGCTCACAATTAGCGCTCACGCTAATGCACACTCCCGCACGCGGCAATGCCCGTCACCCTCTCGAGCCAACCGCGCACGGCGTTTCGCCGAGGTGCGCGCGGCAATTCTCGTCCCGCCCGACTTTGAAATCGAGCGGGAAAGGACGTAAGGACGCCGCGCCTTCGGGCGTGGCAAACGGGAAACCATCGCGCGACACAATCATCATCAAGGACAACGCCAGCAATGAAACAGACTTACTGGAAATAGTAAGGCTATGAGTAGAATCGTGAAGGACAGAGGATCGCAGAAGGGAAATTAGCAAGGCGATTATCGTAGGGAAGGAGTGGAATTCAGAGAAAATCCAAGAGAAGGGAAGCGAAGAGGGAGGAGACAAAGACAAACACAAAGATAGAATTGGGAATAAGGAGTGGAAAAAGGAGAGCGGAGGAAGTAAACGAGGAAGAGAGAAGGAAGTAAGGGGAGGAACTTCAAGATCGACAAACGACAAACGACAACGCAGAAGACAAGCAAGGAAGACACACGTAGAGCACGAGCAAGGCGCAACCTCTCGGGAACGCTTCAACAAAGTGGGCGAATCACACCAGCGGAGAAAATAAGGTTTTGGACACACCGGATATTGCAAAGACTCATCATTCCAGGTGGCACCCTTTCTGTCGACTTTGCACTCCTATCCTTGGTAAGTACAGAAAGCAACCGAGACCCATTCTTCTCCTCACGACCGAATCGCGTTACACGACAAGGAGCAGCACACAAAGTGGGAACAAGTAGTWCCCACACGATTCAGATAGGCGAGACACYAGACAGAGAAAGAAAGTGAGGGAAAGAGACAGTGATCTAGAGGAACACACCGACCATAAACGAGAGAACAGCGAGCGTGAAGGGACGAAAGACCATCATGAGTGAACAGTGATCGRAAAAAGACAACTTAGACACACGACACCGAATCCTCACCCCGTCTCCCCCACTTCACACCGCTCAACCATCCGCCTCACTCCCCCACCTTACTCATCTCCCGATCCAAGCCCCCGCTC